AGCCGGGCAGTGGGGTCAAGACTCCACCCTCATGCCCCATCGCATGCAGATGTTGCTGTGGGGGGCGGGCAGAGGGCGTGGCTGCCATGGCGCTGCTGGGCCACCTGGGCGATCTGCTGCAGCGGCCGTGGAGACAGTGGGTGGCCCTTTGGGTGGGCGGGATGGGGGTAGAGCGGGGCGGGAGCAGAGTGGGGGGCGGGTGGGGCTGTTTTGGGGCACTCGGTCTCTAAAAGGTTTGCCATCACTGCTATAGTTCAACCATATGGAAGACATCAGACTCAAACTAGGTTTAAAGTATTTCATTTCAAGTCTCCATGATAATTCTCAGCAGCATACCTATTTCAGCCTCTGAAATGTTCAAGAATCACAAATGACAAAGTGGAATATTTTCTCACAAGTAGGACATTGGGGGAAGTGGCCAAGATCAGGGGTCCCCAACCCGAGGCTGCGGCCCACTACCAGACCCTGAGCTGTTGGAACTGGGCTGCGGAAGTGTCAGGCAGGCAAGTGCACCCACATCCCCACTTGCACGAGTGGTGGGCGCACGTGCATGCTGCTCTTGCTAATGGAGCTGCGTGTATGTGTGCACTTGCCCATCACTCGTGTGGAACCATTCCCTCTCTCCATCCCCACCGGTCCGCAAAGCTGGAAAGGTTGGGGAACTCTGGCCTAGCTTAATATTAAAAAGTTTTTAGCATTAATATGCCACTGTCATAAGACTAGAATTTGAGGTTTTTTAAAAATGGTTTGGCAATAAATTCAAGGACTTAATCCAGACCTTTAACTTTGTATTTTACCTACCATAAGTTATGCAATAGTCATTGGTTTAGAGGAGTTCCAGCTTTGATCAGTTTGTCTCCACCAAAAACTTTCTGAGTGTGCTAACTAGAATCCTCTCAAATGAGGTTAGTGTGCATTCATGGAAGCCTAGTATATCAGAACTTAGTTGCAAGAGGAAACTCCATATATAAAAGAAGCACATTCACTCAAATGAGACAGATTATTTATACCCTTTCCTCTATGTCAGTGTTTCTCAACCTTGGCAATTTTAGGATATGTGAACTTCAACTTCTAGAATTCCGCAGCCAGTAAGATTGAAGTCCACATACCTTGAAATTGCTAAGATTGAGAAACACTGGTCTATGGAAATCAAAAAGGGCTTATGTTTATTTAAATAATAAAAAGGTATTTTAGTTAGGGATTCTGGGAAAACAGGTTAGCATAATCCTGTTACCTCTAAATAGCTCCTGAAATTTACTAGAAGCTAAGGAAGTTCAAGAAAGAAAGCAGAGTACTTTTGCTTCAGAAATACGTCCTACTTTTATGGAAATAGTTAAACCTCTAGCTAGGAGATAGCAATTTGTGGAATGGAATCTAAATCTAAGATTTTTTTATTTCTCTGTAAAATGTAAGAAAATACATGGAACTGTATTTTTCAATTTTTACTTTAGATTTGTTATTCCACCTTTATTATTTTTTTTAAAAATAACTCAAGGCAGCGAACATACTTAATACTCCTTTGATTTCCCCACAACAACAGCCCTGTGAAGTGACCTGGGCTCAAGTCACCCAGCCAGTTTCATGCCTAAAACAGGATTAGAATTTACAGTTTCCTGGTTTTTAGCCTGCTGTCTCAACCAGCAGACCAAACTAGACCAAATAACCTTTTATTCAGTTGTCAGGACTGCTTATGCAGCTATAATTTTTCTGTAAAATTGTTTAAAAAATCCTCCATTGTTTGAATAATGAAACTCTCCATTTCTAGAAAACCAGTGCCATCTTGTGGCTTGCCTGATATTTTATTATCTTTTTTCCTTTTTTAATTCCTCAGAAAGTGGTTGACCTGAGTTGGTAATTTTGTATCAGTTTCTCTTCACCCTTAATGTTTGTATTTCAGTGTCTAAAGCAGGGGTAGGCAACCTTGGCTCTTTTATGACTCGTGGACTTCAACTCCCAGAATTCCTGAGCCAGCCATATATGGCTGGCTCAGGAATTCTGGGAGTTGAAGTCCACGAGTCATAAAAGAGCCAAGGTTGCCTACCCCTGGTCTAAAGTTAATAAGAAATCATTATATTTTATCTGTTTTCTTTTTAAAAAAATAAAGGTCAATTTTGTTCATTCCTTATGAGATTGATCTATCACTCCCAATAGAAGGGCACTATTTTTTCAATTTCTTTTTATCTCTTAATAAATGACCTAGTTCTGCTGCATGCTGCTTATCAGATGAGCAACAGACAAACACACCCCTCCCAGAAAATAGACGGTGGCAGCAGAAATGAAGAAAGCAGAAATTGGGACCAGAGTTCAGAACCAGAGACTTCAAGTAGAAGAGATCTTTTTTAAGAAGAGACTAGACAGCCATTTGTCCGAAATGGTATAGGGTTTCCTGCCTGAGCAGGGGGTTGGACTAGATCACCTTCAAGGTTCCTACCAACTTTACCATTATTATTATTATTATTATTATTATTATTATTATTATTATTATTATTATTATTATTATTATTATTATTATTATTATTATTATTATTATTATTATTATCTGAGACCTTCAGCTTCCCATTCTGCTGGTTCCAAGCCAACCAAGCATTCCACTAAGGCTTGGTTGGAATTCCTCTATTGAGAAATTGTGCTGCTTAAGTATAATGTGTCCTATACCAAGACTTGTGAACTGGTTTTCTGAATTTGTTGCTTCTTTGTTACCATATAGTGCTTTTCTCCTCTGCAAGATATCATTGAGACAGATTAAAAAATATTGCAATGATTGATTACTAGCATAATAAAACTGAAAGTAGTGAATCAGCACTTGTCAAATAAGGATAGAATTTTTTTTCATGGAAAATAAATGTGGTAGTAGAATGTGCCTTTACTGTCCACATTGCTATTTGTTCCTAAAAGGTTCTGATGAGTGTAGTGGGTAAAGGATGACTTGACTGTAATAGAATGTGCATTTTAATCCCACTGTTATTAGATTTCTTACTTCTCAACCTTGATGCTTTGATTCAGGTATTAATGGACTGTTTTTACTGGTTTACAAAGAAGGCTTATAATATATAATCTAGACCAATAATAATAATAAAATAAAATAGTCAGAGCCATGTATATTGAAAACCATATTGTATTAAAATTATATCTACTAATTTACATTGAAGAAAAGACTTTAAAATAAGTGATTTACAATATAAAGTAAACACAGTAGAAATTTGTGTTTAAAGCCAAAACATTCCACTGAGTTTTTCTAGAGAAGATTCTGAGCAGCCGTTAGTGGAAATAGCAGTGTTTATACACAATATTACCATATATTAGAATGACTTAGCTATTATGGGATAATATTAAATCTACTTAGATAATAATATAGATATTTTTTGTTTACTAGGTAAGAGAAAGACTCGTTCTTCCGGAAGTATTAAAATGAAAGGAGATTAAGCAAACTTGAGTAAAAAAATTACTAGCACAATAATGCAAATCTTCCGACTGCCCTGAGTAATTTCTCTAGCCTTAAAGAAACTTCATTTTTTTTCTTAAGAATTCTTTGAAGGAAAAAAAAATCTACATTTTGAAAGCTGATTCTGAGCAAAATTTCTTAGCATGTATTGGATTTTTCCCCTTTCCTGTTGAGAAATGCTTTTACTGTTCATTGTATTTCGATATCACTTCAATATCCTTCTACTTTTTTTGCCCAGAAGAAGCTTTGACATTTCATTGAAAATGTGACTCTCATTGAAATTTGGTGGGATGTCTTCATTTCCCCACACCCACCTTTCTTCCCTCTTCATCAAATCTGGGGTTTATCTTGAAGGACAGAAGATAACCAAATTGTCTTCTGCTTGGTGTGATTTTATAGCTAACAGGCTACTATTATCCCATACGAAGCAGCTTTTGGATTGGAATACTACTATTATAGAGGATAACTTCATTCCTAGAATAACAAATCAGTACTCAATATTCAACAAAAGCTGAAGACATTCCCAGCAAATTTGACAAATATCCTTATGACACATGACTTCAAATATCTATTGAATACAAGTAACTATTACAGTGCATGTTTCAAAGAATGGCACATATAAGAAATTCTTAAATTCTTCCCCTAAAAATCTTTATCCAATGGTCTTATAATGATATACATTCATTTTTTTCATGAATGTCCAAAACATGATTATGCCAGCCCTATAACGCTATCCCAAAGCTTATTTTTTAATACTAAAGATGGCAATGAGTTACATGTTAAGCACTTTGGCTTCATAAAGATTTAGATTTCAATTCAGTCACAGAAAATTTCCACATTTTAAAAATTCCCTTCTTGTTGGCATTCCTTTTTAACCATGTGAGTTCCAGATGTTTGCTAAATTGTAATTTCTTCCTGTAAGAAAATGAGGCCCGCTGAAAGACATTGTGGAATGATTTGGGAGCTTTTTTTCTATATTGCAATTCTGAGACAAGAAGGTTAGAAATAGAATATGATGTCATTTGGAGATTTAGTAGAATTCTTAATAAGGCAGTTTGACAGCTTAATAGAAGTCTAGTATGGAAGAAATCTTTGTTTTCCTTTAAAAAACATGTGGCAAAATTATGCAGTAATGTTTGCTGGAGTTTAGGCAACACTATAATACAGTAAACTCTTTGCCACAAGACATGTTTAACTAGACAAAAGATGACTAGGCCAAATATTAATGCATTGCAATTAAAATATTGAAAAGCAAAGAATCACTGAAAAATGAACCAGTTTTTCTAGAAGTTTAGAATTTAAGGAGATCCTTGTTTTTAAAAAGATCTTATTATGCTTCTATATAAGTAATTATAATCTGTTTAACCTTCCTAGTTCAGGTCAAAGAATGCTGAACACTTTAGTTCTATAAGTGAACTTCATAAAAATACCCATTCTTACATCCATGATCAGATGTGTTTTGTTTTTTGAGAAAACTCAATATTTAACTATACTTCAAAAACTGGCTGATTTTGCAGTACAGATGCACATTGAGTCTCTCAGAAAAATAACAGAGTAATTTTGCTTTCACATCATCCCCATTCTGTGTTCACCCCGAATTATGTGAGAGGAGAACTCATATTTGTCATGGCTCCTGTGCCCACACATGTTACATTCGAAAGGGTCACGGAAACCATGACATCCCATATGGATAGTGAACATAACATAATCCAAGAAAAGAACACGACAATGATCACATCGATAGACTCCAACGGGTTCACCTTCTTTGTTGAAGACTTTCAAGACATCACAAGGATAAATGGTTGATTGTCTGAACATGTCATATGCTCTAGGAAGTCCATTCCTGGCCTGCAAAGGAGGAGGAACCATTTGATTTTGAAGGTAGGCATGATTCTGATTCTCTTCTTGATTGTTATCTGAATCTGCAGAATGTTGACCACTATTGTTTGGAGAAAGGCCTTGCTCAGTAGGTATCTTGTCCCTCGGTTGGGTGTCACTTTTTTCCATTTTTGGTGGGTTATTATTAGACATTTCAGTGTGAGTGAATGTAAGGGGATACAGGCTGCTGATAACAGGCACCATCTCTGAGGTTGGAGCAGCTGAGGCCTGCACAAGTGGGCGCACTGATTCTGCACCAAGATAGCCAATGGCATTGTTGAAGGCTTGCTCTGCCATGCATCCTGGCAGCATAGCCTCTCTCTCCTTTTCATATAAAAAGCCATGGCTGTAATTCACTTCAAAGTTGGGATGTTTTTCACCTGCAGAAGAAAATAATACTTGAGGAGTTAGAAAACAAATTTCCAAAACTGCAATATTTGTGATTGATGAAGGAGGGCACATCTTTGAATCTCAGATGTGCAGCACGTAAATTTAATAAACAAACAAATACTTTCTGCATATTTTCTAGCCTGGTTCAAGTACTGGAAAATTATCTTTAAAGTAATACAAAAAAGGAAAAATTCTTCAGCAGGTAAATGCTGCACTATATAGAAATCTTTATTTCAAAAATAAAATCATGGAATCAGAGTTAACAGTTTTCATCAAAACTGCTGACACAGACAACTTTTTAACCTGCAGCAGACAATACTTTCATATTAAAACATTGTAAGCTACATAATAGAAACTAGAACAAAACCTTGAGATATTTATCACTGGCAGAACTATGAGTCAAGGACCTCCAGTGTTCGGTGGATAGGAGTGAAACCATACACTCACGTTTCTTTAATAATGTGCTTGAGAGTGCTGACAGCTTATTGCCAATCTCAAGACCCATCTGATAGTTCAAAGGAATTTTTAAAAATCCCCACAACATGACATTTCATTATGACTCATAATACCTGTTCTAGAAAACATGAATCAAATAATATTCTTAAGCTAGGTTCTCAAGGGACATCCTGAATATATGTCAATACATATGCCATCCCTCCAAGTTGCTGGGATGTGAGCAAAAGTATGCTGATATGCTAACTTGCTTGGAATAGGGTGATCATGTCTGTGGTAAAACTGAGATTTGGTTGCACTTGTTGCATATTGGCCAATATGTGCCTGAATGTATCAGTCTTATCTTTACCCTTAGAAGGAAATGCCCCATATGGCACACAGATACTAAGGCTGGTGCTGTAGTCTATCCTGTCCTTATCAAAAATGTACTATGCAAAATCCTTGAATGACCAAAGCCATGTTGGACAGTGGAAGTCCATTTTTATGGGCCCATCTGTGATGAACATATGGAAAATTCCAAATGAAAATGAAATTAAAAAAGAAAAATAAATTGTGTTTTTTATGAAAATAAGACAAATGATATAATATTTTATATATAATATAAAAGTACTCTGAGCTGAATTGGTAAATACTTGCAGGGAAGTAAAGATGTACATGTAATTATGAATAAAAGGGCTGCAGAAATGTCTGAACCAGAGACATTTAAGTTGCTATGAATATGTATGAAAACAGGAATTTATAGATTGGTGTTAATTGCATCTTATGCGCCACTGAATGGTGATAACCGAAAAACTACAGAGGAGTTTTAGGGACAATGGTGCAACCTTTAGAATGAACGTGATTCAGAGGAAAATATTATTCTGTGAGGTGACATGATTGAATGGGTGAAAAGAAGATGATAAAAGAATACAGAAAAAGGATTGGGATGAATGAGAACAATGATTAAAATTTGCTTAGAAGAAGTTCTGTTTGTTTCTAATACATAATTAAACATAAATTTATTCATACATACTTATGTCAAACAAATAATATTAGCCTAAAATCATAATTTATTTAACTCTGTATAATGAGAAATTGAGAAAATTAGTGAAAGATACAAGAATAATGAAAGGCTCCAAATGAGGCATAGACCATTTTTTGTTAGTTTCATAAATATTCTTTAAAAAAAGAAAGACACAGGAAAGAAAGAAGTAAAAAATCCTAGAGCTGAAGTGAAAATCAGCGGGAAAAGAAAATGCAAATTATGTAAGGGAAAGAAAGAGAAGAAGATATATTAAACTCCCAGCAGAATGAACATAAGTTAACAAGGGAAAAGAACATGAATACAAGAGAAAAGAACAGAATGAAAAGAATTATGTTAGAGACTATCACAGAAATATGTAGAGTTATTCTAATGATCACTGTGGAAAAAATGGTGGGTGGGATGATGGTGGAAAAGATTGTGGAGGTGGGAAAAATGCACGTAATGGGGATACCACTGCACTCAAATAAGACACAGCAGAAATAACTGGACCTTGTTTACTTGCCCCAGGAACAGGTATCACCCCAAAGTTTCAAAGATTCTTCATTAATCTCAAGAGATGTAGCATAAAAGGCATAGACATACTGTAATAAAAAATCACTATCCTGATTTTAAGATAACCTATTTTGCTGTTTTGCCAGGCTATACCGGGAAAAGAGTTTATTTATTCATATCCCACATTTCTTATTTTCACAAATAACTCAAGGCAGCAAACATATTCAATACATTTTCCTCCTCCTATTTTACCCACTGTAACAACCCTGTGAGATGAGTTCGGCAGAGACAGAATGACTGGCCCAAAGTCACTCAGCTGGTTTTCATGGTTAAGACAGAACTTGAACTCATAGTCTCTTGCTTTTTAGCCAGGTGTCTTTTTAAAAATATATATAAACAAGATGGATCGACAACATCAGCAAGTATTGCGGGCCCAACTGGCAAAAGAAAGCTCAGGACCACATTGGTTTGAAACATACAGAAGAGGCCTTCATCCTGCACTGGATAGACAATGGCTAAAATGATGATGATGTTTTATCAACATCAAATAAGTCTAACATTGAACATACAAAAAGATCCACCCTAGTTGGATGCTGGAAAGAAAATAATAATAAAAAAACCCTTATAAATTCTTCTCCCATTACATGATGGGTCTACAAATAAGATAAGATAAGATAACCTTTATCTTCATTTTTTTTTACTGTGGGCACAGCGGCACACATCAAAAATGAAACAATTATAAGGTCTCTTGTTTTTATGTAACAAGAAAAATATATTATATGAACAAATATTTCAGAGGAGGCAATCTCCCAGCATTTAATCAATATATATTGTTTTTGTTGTGTTTACTGTTTATATATATAAAAGAACAGTCAACAGATTAACCCAAACATTACATAATCTTCAAATCCCTCTGTTAACTATCTGTTATTGTGCTTAATTCGTAGAAAGTCCACAAACAGCTCCAGTTTCTTAAAAAGCTCTAGTCTAGTCCATTGTCTTTAATCAATTTATTTGTAACTGCCTTCTGAACTCACTTTTGTTTCTTTTTATCCAGTTTAATGTCTGATGCCCAGAATTGGAGCAGAACTCCAAACTAATAAGTGTATATTATTTCCCATCACACAGGTGTAATGCTTTTGTTAATGCAATCCAAAACAGCATTAGTCTAATTACCTGTTTCATCATAATTTTTGCTCATGTTCAGCTGGTAGTGTACTAAAACCTCTAAATCATTCTCATAGGCACGGTAGTCAAGTCTGATTTCCCCAATCTGGATCTATATATTTGATGTTTTCTCTGATGCATCATCTGTTAGGTACAGCTAAATGTTCAAGACCATCAGTGTTATTTTATTTGTGGGATTTTTTTCCTCTAATTTTTTTAGTCAGTCACCACTTACTGTCATCTACCAATTTAAAAAGTTTCCATTCCATCCAACAGGTCATTTATAATAATATTTAATAGAAGGTGGCCAAGGCCAGAGCCACTCAGTATGTTTCTTCCAATGAATAATCATTTATTAGTATTCTTTGTGTGAACCTTTCATCTAAATCCTCTGCACTGCAGAATCTCTAGCTCACATTTATCCATCTTGTGTGCAAGAATGTAATGAGAGGTTTTGCTTTTGCTAAAGACCGTGCTCAATGTCTGTGTCACCCAACAGTATCAGTTTTCCCTTTAATATTCCATTTTCTACCAAGCTAAGGGATTACTCTGTCATGAAAAAGGGACAGACTGACATTTGTTCTCGACAAACCAATTCTGACTCCTAATAATCACAGCATTTTTTCTATATTTTCCGAGACATACGTCTTTATAATCTCTTCTAGTATCTTACCCAATGCAGGTATTAGTTTGTGTGTTTCATATTACCTGATGGTCTGACTGTTTTCCAAAAGAATCAGCTTGTACATTTAGCAAATTATCACAAAAAATTGGGTGACACAATATGACCAGCTCAAAGAAAAGCACCCCCTGAAAAGATACGAGTCCCAAATAATAGAAGTTGCAAAATAGTAGTACAAAAATGAATATTGCACTCCCATTAAACAGCAAGAGGTCTAGGCACCCAAGTGGGCAGGAGAATAACAGATAAAGAGTGGAGTGGAATGAGAATGAAACTGCAGCTTTAATTTCTGAAGATGGAATCAGCAGAACAGTTAAGTTCTTAGAAAAAAAATAATGATTACAGAGATTAGAATGAAGCAGGAAATTGTTTTTCCTGTGACATTCTAGGGAAGTAAAGGTTGGACGTTAAAGAAACAGAATAGAAAAAGTACTGATACTTTTGAACTATTGTATTGGACAAGATTCCTGAGAATACCATGGATAGCCAAGAAAACAAAACAAAACAAAAAGGCATGCACTGAACAAATCAACTCTGAGTTCTTATGCAAAGCACAACTTACCAATCTCAAACAAGCATACTTTGGAAACATTATAGAAAGGCCTACATCTCTGAAGAAGTCTATTGTGCAAGGAAAGGTGGAAAGAAAGAGAAGGAAATGAAAGAGAAGATGAGTACAAGTAGCAAGATGGATTGACTCAATTACAGAAGCAATGGATGCACTGACAGAAAACTTGAAAGATTAAAATAGAGACAGATAGTCTTGGAGAAAACCAAGAACTTGATACCAACTTGGTGGCACATAATCAATCCTATGTGGAACTTTTCAAAGTTTTCTTTGATTTGATGGGCAGTTTGGGGGGGGTAGTTGATATATGGAGATAGAAAAACAGTAATTCAAAGGATCCATTTCAAGACTGGACCTTATTTAGATTTCAAAGAACTTGGCTACTAAGGTTTATAATGTAAATATATTATCAAACATTTTTTAGGATTATAATCTTGTGAGTTTGGTTTATAAAAGATAATCAAATTTGTTTAGATGGAGACTAAATGAAATGTTGCTACAGAAAGAAGCAGTAACAAAGGATTGTAAAAAGAAATTAAAATAAGTTTTTGAAAATAATGTAGGTAAAGGCACTGATTTAAGAATAGTTTGACAGGTAGGTAAA